TTTCCCTTTGTAATAGACGCCTTAGCTTCCTGTTCCCCTTCTCCACTGAGGAAATGTATTCGTTCTGTCCGGGGTTTTAACCCTTTCACCGAGCATTACAGTCGGGTGCAATATATAACACATAATAGCTACAAGTGAACACTTTTCACACCCGTGGGGTAACCTCCTTTTGTGAATTACCCTACGAGGGCGATCCATCCGGTAAACGTCTCGGAATTTTGTTGTCAGTACTAAAACCACAAGGTTTATCTCTTGCGTAGAATTAAATAAAATTAAAGGCAATTCAAATTTCTTTGTTCATTTAATAAAATTGAATTCGCGTCTTTGACCCAATCGGTAACAAACAGTTGACATAAAAAACAACAGTTGAGATAAAAAAGATAAAATAAATGCTATAAATTTAAAGTATATAGTACAAAACAAACATGAAATATTATAGCAAATATAACATCTTATTTGAACGAGTGCCAATTTGCAATTACTAAAAGTCAATATTTTCTCAATTCTTCTAAACACTCGCTGTAAATAAATATTGTTACAAATGATTACAATAGAGCGTAAAGGAGTCTTCTAATGTAGTAAAATCTTAACAAAATGGTGGAGAACATATTCTACACTGTTACTTTCATTTTACTAGTATTAATGTAACAACTTTATTTGAAGATAAGCTTACCCTGTTATCTTACAGTATCCCTTTTATGGGATTCAAACAATCATCTTCCTATGTTTTTGTCAGAAAATCTTCTGCAAACCCAGTCCATAAACTATCCTACTAAGAACTTACAATCAAAGCTTAAGAAAAAGAATTATGAAAAATAAATACACCTTCTCAAGCTCAGAAAAATTACCGTTTAGGAATTCATATTTCAATAACCTTTTAAGCTATTACAAACAGCAATAACATGAAAAGTCTATAAATAGAAAGTCACAAAGGTACAGAATTTCTTTCCAAATTTATAATATAGTAACCGAAACTGTAACGAGCATTCTGTGTCGTAACAGTCGCAGAACATCAGAGTAAAACGATGTCGTGGTTTGTTGCTCACGGGGTTCAGAAAAGAGAGGAGACTCAGTCGGGGAAGCTCCTCCGGTTCTTTCGAATCGCCGGAAGACACGGTACCGGAAATACCGCGGTATGTAAACGGCAAACCTCTTCACTTCCTTCCTTCCTCGTTCCGCGATCTTTCTCGTGCTGCTGCAAGAAAAATGGATCGTCCCGTAACGATCTCACCGTAAAACACTTCTTATCGCGGCTTAACGCGACTCTCACTTTTTCCCTTTCTTTTCTCTATTCCTCTTCGTCGTTTACCGCCATACCTCCCTTTCTTTCTCACTTCTCTTCAAATTCAACCCAGCGACATGCCGCTGGCATTGAGGTGCTGATCGTATCTTGCAGATATGGTCTTATCGGTAACATCTAGATTTCAAGTCGCTTCGCTTAACGCTGCCTGGATAATCGCACACGCCCTCTTCTGGTTTACCAACTTTTGGCCAGCCATTGTGATTTCTAAACGAGACCTGCTAGCCTGGTGATCTCTTTACCGATTTTGCAGGTTTCAGGATCGATTTGGTTAACTTCTCTAAATGGTACCCTGTAATTACAATTAGAATTGAGAGTGAATTTTAATTACATTAGTATTAGTGGGGAAATAGCAGATGCGAGTTAAGAAGATTAAATTTTTATAGTTTGAGTAGATTGAGCAAAATCAAATGAGTAGATTAGTAACATATTTATATACCTGATTTATGAAAATGAGAGGATATGTATATTGAGACAGAGAGCAAGATCAATTCATCATCTTAGCAATTTATATTCAAACGTTTATCAACGAACTCGTCTATTTTAAGAAGTATCATAAAGTAATTTAATGGCATCGGTGTAAGACTGGCAGCAGTTCAGCTTCGTATATAAATCTCGAATACGAGTTTTCTAAAAAAATCTCAAACAATTCTTATTGTGCCACATGTAAAGATATGTGTAATAACCTAATTTTACGCGGAATGAAATAAAAATGGGAACATCGGTAGCAAAAATGATTACAGAGTTTAAGTTTGTAGTTGTAATACTAAATGGGTAATTTTAATAATATTAGCACATCGAAATCCCGTGTAAAGCAGAAGACGTGTAAAGTTATAGCGCATATGCTTGGAATTACCGTGGTAAATATTAATTTCTTGGCAACGTGCTGCTATTTTGTATCGTTTTGCTGCCAAATTAGAGAGAATGCGCAGTAACTTCGTTAAGATGCCGTGCCGCGTGGCACGACATCCCAATTAACCGGAGATAATTAATTAGGATCTATTGTTCCAATTGCATATTAATGTCAATTTGCATGGACGAGTCCTCGTCATCCCCCCCCCCCCTCTCCCTCTCTCTCTCTCTCGACATAAGTGCCCTTCGTAAATGTATACGGACCTGCAGTTGCATTACCAACGGTATGCCGGTTCGTTTCAAAACGTGGCCTCTGAGAATAATTCCAGATGTGTGTCGGATAATTTGGAAATTTCGTTACTGATTCTTGCTTCTATTCTTCGCTGAATTAACCTCTGCGTAAAATTCTTTGAAGTAAACGGTTTCGCTGAATATTTAGGTATACGAGTGTTTGTTTCGTCTGGAGTATTTTTAGTCTGAAAGAGAAATTATGTTAGTATAGTGATAAACGGAAGGAAAGAGCCGGTGAACGATACAAGAAATTACGAATGAAAAGATATTAAATAATTAGAGAATACGAAACGTACATGTTGTGTATTATACTGCAGCCGAATATATAGTTGAAATGTTGAGAGGAAATTGTATTTAAAGTTGCGTGCTTTGTACTCTTTGAAGGCGTACTTGCACGTAATATCACTTACAAAGTACATGCAGTCTGAAATGATGGTAGGAAAATGTGTTTGGTTAGTCAGCAGAAAGGCCCAAGTTTAGGTTACTTCGATAGATACTTAGATAATAAAATGAACTTACTCCTTAGAAACAACTTTAAAGTTGCATTGCACGATAAATGTTATTAATATTAATTTAAACGTATTGCAGTTTGATAATATAACCTACGAGAAAGTTTTACGAACGCGCTAGAAATATTAGTAGTGACACCTCCTGACGATGAACGAATTGATGTGAGAATGAGAACATCGAATTCTGGCAGTTGCGAACGCCGTTTGTTTCCAGTAGATGGTGTTGTGTCTATTATCCTTTCAACGCTGTTTGCACTGTCTACTTAACCTTCATTTCCAGGTTCCTTTTTCCCGCTCTCAATTAAGCTACTTTGTTCATATGTACATTAAGTGTATTTTATATATTCTACAGCATATGAAAATTAGAAGAGAAACATTTATAAACAGTTAAGATACAAAAGTGTGCAGTATACGAGAGTAATTTAAAAGGGGAGAGAAATGTAAAATTAAAAAGAATTAAAAATACTAAGGATACTGTATCACGGTACGTAACATACATAGAAATCGCAGATTGCTTTTAACCCTAGAAAGATCTCTGGCTTCACGAGTCACTCCAGATCTATCACTTAAATTGTATCCACTTAGAATGAAGTAGATTTACATCTTCTTCAATGAAACTACACACAACTTTATAGTAAACACGTATAACCTCTATTAGCAAAGCTTAAACGAAACTCATCCGTTCCACTTCTCTAATTTCTTTGTTTCTTTTTATACTTTTATCATACAACTTATCCATACCGCAAGAGACGATTAATAAATGAAGAAACCGAATCTTGTGTAATTCAGAGATCCAGCTCTCTGAAGTCCAACAAGAAACAAAAACAGGAAAAAAGTGGGGAAGGATTCACAATGCCGGAAGAGGCGAGCAAAGAGGCCAACGGAAGAAAGATTCTGTCGCTGGGCTCGCAGAACGAACGACGCGGATAAATGATTCACCAGGCTGCTGCGAGCATTTGCGTTTCCGCGCCTCGTCCCTCGAGCATTTCTTCCCCCTTCTTCTTTCTTTTTCAAATACGCCTGGACAAATTTGTATTTCGCCGGAGAAAACCAGGTTCTCCTTAAGAGACGGCTAGAAGAGAAGGAGGCTTTGCAGAGGAATAAGAGGGACGTTGAAGAGACACATGTAGCGGATATAGGATGGAAAGACGGAAATTGAAGATTCTTGCCGGAGAGCGGGATTTATTGGGTCATCAGTAGTAATTACGCAGAATCCCGAAATTACATAGCGATGGGTAGGCTGTAGATTTCTTTGAGACGATGTGCAGTGACCCGGATTTTCGGCGTTCGCTCCGCGGAAGGGAAGAGGAAGGAGAAAGGAGGGATTCGAGTCCCCTTTGGACTCTCGTGAGCTTTCTCGTACTCCCGATTAAATTGAACTTATCGAAGCCCGCGACACGACGGAATTCCACTCCCCCAATATGACCTCGACTGTGATCGGCCAGAAATGGGGAAACGATCTCGGTTCGTAGTTCCGTGAACTAGCGGTGAATCTACGTGTGACTCGAATTTTGAACTCGACTGGAGTGGATTGAGGAAGAAATTCTTTATCATCGGAAAAAAGATTAACGAATCGGAGTATATCTTTATCGTATACAATATACGATATAATAATGATATTCTGGTTAGTTTGAAAATTTCTCTTAGGACCAAATTTTTTTTTTTTTTTTTTTTTTTTTTTTTTTTTTTTTAATAGATTGTTTTTGCGTATGCCAGTTTCTATTTCAAGTCGACCGAGTTGTTACATGTACAGTTTAAAAAAGAAAATTTATTTTTATCGTGGTACATAATGGCTGATGCAACAACTTTGTGGTGTGTGTATATAAAAACTTGATATTTGTATCTTCTTACGTATATATTTAATGGTAAGTGAAAAAAATAAGACGAAATCGAAATATTAATGGTTAACCTTGACATTCGTTTCTCGATAAATAGTGGAAACGGCGAATGGTTGTTCAAGAAACCTGGTGTATCAGTATTTTGAGAAAAAAAAAGCCACGATAGGATAGTCAATACGAATTATCTTTAACCTCTGTCCAGCAACGTGATTTTTTTTCCAGTCTCTCGGATTTTATCGAAATAGTACTCGTATACGTGACTCGATAGATTTCTCCATGTTTTTACTACTTTCTAGTAGTCTTAACACTTCATTGAATCCGCTGACTCTAACTCATTTTGAGGTTATGGGTCAAGTTCTATAATTGAAAGATCTACAATCTTATGTTGTTATGCCAGTTCTTAGATACCTATACTGATAGCTAAAAATTAGATAATAATTTATAAAAAGAGTCTATTTTCCAAATTTTCTCGGTAATACGCCATATTATTTCAGATAAAAAATGACATTTTCCATGTCAAATTTTTGTTTGCAAATTCGTACGACATTCACTACCCGGATACCAGGTACTCGTGGGCGACCAGGCTATTAAACATTGGTGCTTTCAGTAACAGAGTGTTATAATCTCGTGGAGCTCGTTTCAACTGGTAATTGTGGTTGTGACACGCGTAAAAGTAGTGGAATAGATACACTTCGACTCAGGGTCCTATAGTATATAATATTTTATTACTTATCTCCATCTATGAATTATTCATATGACAAGAATATAGGAAGTTGGTTCAAGGAAAACTGTGGATGATATTCTACCTCATTATTCTTCAAGCATTATAATACTTCTCTTACGAATTGATTTTTCAACCAATTTTCTCTCTCTCTTCTTTCTCTCTCTGTCTCACACACACATACATACGTGCACTGCTAATACATTTGCATACTCCATAGGGACCATCTAAGAGAAATTTTTAATTGGAGATATCAGTGCAGATATACATACTTGATATTCAACGGAATACTTCGGTAAATATACGACTACTGGACTCATTTCTCTCTCCTTTTTGCCTTTCCTGAAATAAAAAAAAAGTAGATGGATGGCGAGAAATCGGATTTTTACATATAATGCTAGCGGATCAGAGTAGATTTGAGAGTACAGCTTTGAACGGTAGGCATATCTCCACTTGGTCATTTATCCGGGCCATGAGCAAAAATGGTCCTTTACAGCGCAGCTAGCCCAGTAATATACAAGAAAAGGGAAACCGGTAACTAAAAATATACAGGCACCGAACTCGAAACGAGCCTGCTACAAAGAAATGGGTGGCCTTCAAAGGTCACTCGTGGATGGTTACTTGCAAATTTTTTAGAATCAACGGGTATGTGTGTATGATAGCAGTTCCCGATGGACAAAAATATATGTCTCGGCACTCGTGACTCGTGTGCCAGCAACTTCGATCGACTAATGATTGTATTGGGAGAGTTTGTCGAGAAAATAGTCGATTATCCTTTTGTGTTTGAGTTTACAACAAAATGCATTTGAAAATGATATATTTGATTAGTTCTATTAAAGAAATTGAATAGCAATAGTAACTAATAATAATCTCCGAAGTAATGCAACCTTGTTCTTAAAATGTTTAATTTCACATCAGAAACGGAATTTCAACCAAATTTCGATATTACTGATGACAAGACTGAACGAGCCCCTCTAACTAATTACCTATAATATCTGTTCAATTACACAACATCAGCCGTCCCATAAATGTCCATATTAGCCGGGTTTCATTGCCACCTAATGACTTCGATATCCATGGACTAATCCGAGTCCAAATACAAGCTGGACTTGCTGGCGGGACGCAATAACGACTATATATATTCGTAGGATCAACCCATATCACGATCATGCACATCTTGATCTACCATGAATATATATATATATATATATAGTGGAAAAAAGATCGGGGTAAATAAAACCAACAATAAGTAGAGTACAATAGAAATTCCCTAGACGTCTGCTTACGTCTCGAAAATCCCTAGGCGACCAAACAACGTTATTCACGTATTTGTCTATTCTCTTGAAGATGTATATACTTTTCCTTAAATCGTTTCCGAAAGTACTTGGTCTCATGGTGTCGTAGAAATTCATTCTTCTCGAAATGTACCTCAAACCTTGAATATGCATTTGTGTAGAGAAATAGCGCACTCGAAGTTGTGCCAGTATTCCTGAGAAAGGCTGTCTTTCGCGAAAGACGCGTGGTTCGGAGACGAATGTAATAGAGAGGCATGTATATCTGAATCCAAGAGCAACGTCCCCTACATGGATATGTCGAGGCTAGTTGGCTGCGTGTGTCGAGCTACCGCATGGTCTATATCTGACGACGCATTATCTGCTTTGCTGCCTGCAGCAAACTCAGTATTGCATCCTACTTGAGCTGTTCTCATGACACTTGCGATACGTCCTGTACTCTACTATATTCTATCTTTCCTTTTAGGCAGAACCTTTATCCGCGTTTTCCTTCTCGTTTTCTATTGTTCGTCTTTTCCTATTTGGTTCCATTTCTAGTGTCTTTTTCTTGTTCTTCCAACAGACTATATATCCCATCCTTTACTTTGTCGCGTGGGCGGCTACCTTCTATATTATACCTTCTCGCTTCCCTTGGCTCTTTCGGTTGCCCCCATTTATTGACATTTCAATTTTTTCGCCTTTATCAAACACTTTGGTGCCCTGAGATTCAATTTCTTCGAACTTCTGTGATTCTTCTTACAGTTTTCTTCTATGATTTCCTTATTTCTTTCCGTTCCTTGGTTCATTCTTTGAGATTTCTCCCTTGTCGATTGTACGAAGCTGCTAGAAATATTGTTTGTTTAGGCGAAAGTATTCAAAGATTTTAGAATTTACAAATGTTTAAATCTTAATTTTAACTTTGGGAGACACATTACTGTATTAAGTGTCTAGTATGATTCTTGTACCTCAGAATTTTCTCAAAACGTGATCTCTCTGCTCCTTGAAACGTAATCCTCTACATAGTTCTGCGTTGTCCAAGCTAAGCTCTGGAGCTTACGGGGGCTTCCCCCGCTTCGCTAAGGGTTGGTACATGAACTCTGGTTGAAATCCCAAAGCTGATGTCATATATAGAGTATCGTATGACAATATAATTACTTTTCGTAAAAATGTATGGATTCCTTTGTATCTGTAGAAGGAAAGTACGTAGAATTATCATGACAAATGAATATAATCACATTAAAAATAATATTTTACTTGGTTCATAAAAATTTATTGTTCCATCTCAATCGTCATAGAATAAGGCACTTGATAACGATACTCTTAGATTGTTTCCTCTAGGGTATCTTACTTCCTTCGTTTCCATTTGCACAGAGGGCAGCACGTGTTTATTGCCTATCTCCACCTCAGCGTTGACACTCGATTAAAGATCGCCTCGCGCATATCGCTGCATGTCCATCGCTCTCGAACTCTCATAAACTCGATTCCCGTCGCTTTGGCCGGTTTGGTTGCACCCTGGATACCGGTAGTGTCTTGTCCGAAGTCGGAAAGCGATGACGGCTGCGCACCACGTCGCAACACGACAATAGCCTCGATGAGCAACTTCGACAAAGGGAAACGCGCGTTTATTGTTTCATTGTCTTCGTCTTCACTCCGTTGCTCCCGATAATTTCGTCAATTCTATCCGGCTGTCGACGTTTTGGCTGTTACACAGCTTCCAGCAACGAAAAGTCGATTCCGCCACTGACTAGCCACATGCATCCAGACTCGAATATCTTTACGCTGTATTTGAATCGTATTCCAGCGTTAGTTAAAACGCTT